GCTCCATCTCAGTCCTTCGCAGAGGCGTTGTGGTTGGAACAGACCTTTAAGATGGTCAAGTCCAGCTCTGCCAGGCCCACTTCTCAACACTGTCCCTGAGCACCATGTCTAGGCAGCTTTTAAGCACATCCAAGGATGGCGATTCAGCCACAGCCCCCTTCCAGTCTGTGATATCTCTTTTGGCATAGAGATTCTTCTTCATGTCTAACCAAAACCTCCCCTGGCATAACTTGACACCGTTCCCTCTCATCCTGTCGGTTGTAACTCGTAACAAATCCAGTACAACACAGAATTCACTTGTGCACTAACATAGCTTCAACGAACCCCTTCACCAAAAGCCACACCTGCGTGATGAGTTGCGGGCTGAGAATTCACCCGTGAACAATGGGAGCTGATGGTTTGCAGCGTAGGTGGGCTAAGGGAGAGGAGCAAAGCACGAGCTGAGTGTGCCTGCTCGTTCGGGAGAGCGCTTGTCCTGTTGGGAAGCCCCGAGCACAGCTTGGGGCGGGCAGAAAGAAGGTTGGGGCGGTTTTGGTCCTCTCACTGTGGCACAAGTGGAACAGGCAGACCTATTCTCAGGTTACCCTGAGGATGAAATAGTATTCAAGCTGCAATGGTTGAACAACGCCGCGTGGCAAAAAAAACCAGGAAAGGTAGAATCTTCTATTTGTGAGATTTGAAGCAACTGACAAGTTTTTGAATGCACAGACTGTTCTTAGAGAGGAAAACACTAAGTCAGACCACACAGGTAAAGAAAACTGTTTCTCTCCCCTGAGCGTGCATCAGTGCAGTTCATGATCTAGCAAATACGGCAACACGCCGACAGCAGGGGTTTGAGCTGTGAAGTGTTTCCAGCCATTGCTCAAAACTGCTAAAGCCAAGTCACGTTCGTCTTACCAGGATCGACCACTGGAACAACGAGAAGGAGCGTCTCGTTCTTATCACGGATTGGTCCCTCCTGGTCTGCAAATACAACTTCATCAGCCTGCAGTGCCAGCACGTGACGAGGATTTCCCTCAGCGCGGTCGACACCATCGCTGTAGGAGAGTTTCAGTTCCCACCAAAATCTCTGAACAAGTAAGTTGACACAGCAGCACTGTAACTTTAATTCTTGCATTGTTAGTGTAAGCGGTTTGACCCCTTTATCACTGCCCCTTGGACAAGCTGGAGACTTCTGCCCATTGCTCAGGTGACATTGCAAACAATTACTGATGACTGAAGCTTCGTTAGACCCCCTCAGAGTAGCTGCTGGTTTGCTGGGACAGTTAGTCGTGATGTTAAAAGTGAGCTGCTGAAGGACTTCCGAGATAAGATGACGAGGTTTGAGGGCAAAGCTCATACAGTACTTTTCTACTTAGCTTGCCCCAAAGTCTCCAAAGTCTCACCGTATTAATTCTGCTGTCATCAAAACCAGGCGAGAAGGCGTCGGTATTCGAATTCAGTGGGACAAGCAAAGTCGTGCCTCCTTCATAAACAGGTGGAACCCGTGGTCCAGCAACATCCCTTACGTCACCTTCACCGAGCACCCCATGGGAGATGCCGATGAGAAGATCGCACCCCTTTGCCTGGTAAGGATGTCACTTCTCTTGTAGGCAACTTCTTGATCTCATGAGCTGGATATGACTCAGACCAGTTAAAGAGACAGTTAAAGAGGCTGGAAGTTACGTTTCTCCAGATTGGGACTTGCAGGGCAGCCAAGCTGTTGTGGGCAGCTGGCAAAACCTAAATGGTTTATACAAGGAAACCAAAACTTCCAAAGGTGCAGAGTCCTGCAAAGCCCCTCCCTAAAAATGGATCTTGTGCTATTCTTACCCGACAGGCTGATGCCTGGTGTGGTATCTAGGACTGGCAGCTCATTAAACAAGTAGTTGAACAGCTGACTGTAAACCTTCACTGAGGTGGTTCTCAGTTTTTCTTTCAATAGTTGGTCTCAAAAAAGGATCGCTATGGTAGTTTAAGTTGAACACATGAGCGATAAAGGCAGGAGAGCTACAGTTCAGAAATAAACAACATTAGTCACCCATAAATGTTTAAGCATCCAGCCCGTGTGTTTATGTTACACGTAAACAGTGCCCTGCTATGAAGTTAACTGCACCATTAAGGTTAAATGTCAGAATGTAACGCTTATCGCAGCACGCGAGATCCGTAACATCTGAAGCTTTAGTGTTAATCCTTCACAGTTCAACCTCCACAGCTGTTTACCCACCAATTTTTAGAACAACTGAAAAAATCACGCTGATTTGTTTTCTTGCAGTTGGAAAACTTTAAAACTCAGCTAATTCAAGCTGTGAAGAAAGCCCAGAAGGAGGGCCCATCACCAGGAAGGGCTGAGGGCGTGCTGGTGCTGGAGCATCCTCTGCTGATCGAGACTTACCTGGGACTGATGTCCTTCATCAACAACGAGGCCAAACTTGGCTACTCCATGACAAGAGGCAAAATTGGATTTTAGAGTTCATTGCGGTTTAAAATTCATTGCATTTAATCTTTTGAAGGGGAAGTGACTTGGCACTGTCTCCTGGGGAGAGCACGCTGCGTGGCAGAGAATCCAAGCCAAGGAGTTTGGGGAGCGAATGCGGGGAGGGGAGATCTGATGGCTCGGGGTGGGGCTGGTTGTTGTGGTCAGGTCAGACTAACCTGACGCAGACACAAGGTAGTGTCAGTCTTGTATTTTGCATCTAATTTGCTGTTCATACAGGGCGCTAGCGAGCAGCAGTGTTTTCCATTTCTAACTACGTGTTCTTCGCTGTTAATTAAGCACGACTGGTACCTGCTACAAACCCTCCACACCAACACCCATGCTCCAGCGAAACGTCGGTGCTGGGTTCCCGCCGTGTCCCTAGGCGTGGGGTCAGGTCGTGCAATTGATCCGTGGTGTTTCAAAGAGGTACTTGTGTTCACAATTCCAGCCGTCTTTGCATTTTGATTAATGCTTGTTAAGAACTGTGGAAGCTGCGTCATTCTCTAGCAAAAGAGAGCCAGCAGATTTTGTCAAAGCTGCGCTGCTGCGCCTGCTCACAGGCAGGGTACCTGGACTGCTCCTTTGCCAACTGAAGTATACGGCTGAATGTGCATTTATGAGCTTTTTGTAAAAACACCGCCCTCCAAGAATGGCATCTGCCTAGTTTCTTATGTATGATTTCTTGCCACAGCCATAGAATAAAGACTCTTTTGAGAGAATACTGCCAAAAGCCTCTCACACACATTTGCCTTCAAAGTTATTATTTATGAACCTGAAAAGGAATTCTATGTTGATTAAATTTATATTGTTCGCAATTTTTCTTAACTCTGCTCTAGTTTGGGACAGCAGCAGTGCAGGACTTTTCCCATGGAGACAGATAAAACTTGAAGGACTGAACGTCAATCTTGATTTATACATTCTTGCACTTAACCTCCTACAAATGTCCAGTCATGATATTCAGAAGCAGCATAAGAGATGCTACAACCAAAATTGCTCATGAGGGTGCTCTTAAGACGCCTTTTCATTGAGCATGACCTTCTAGACTTCTGCCACTTCATCAGAGCATTTCTCTGCACAGCTACAGTGCTGAATACAAGCCGTGCTGCAGGGGTGGTTTTCTGAAGTTAAAGTGGGTGCATGTTTATGAAACTGCTGCAAAGCTGAAGTCTTGGTGGAGTGCAACAAGCTGCATGCCTCCCTCCTTGCGTTTCTCGAGGTGTCTCTTTGATTCTCATTAGTCTTGCAGTAAAGTTAAATATCAACTCGATTTGTTCTCTGCTCTTCATTTTGTGGAGACTGAGGCTGTGAAATTGAGTCGCAAAAGAAAAACCATCCAATAAAGCTCTAAGCAGCAGGCTCCCTTCCCTTGAAGGACACAGTAGCTGCCTGCTCTCGTTAAGGATAAAGGCTGATCCAGCTGCTTTTGCCCAAACCGTCCACTCCAGTTTGGCGCTGGAAGAAAAATCTGTTGCCTTACAAGACTAGCTATAAGGTGCACACTGTTGGATGCAAATAACTTTTCCTGTGCTGGGATAAATAGCTACGTAATCGCATCACTGATCGTACAGAAATGGATTGTAGAATGGAGGAGAAGCGCAGGTTTACAGTTAAGAGTCAGCAAATTTGTAGCTATCAAAATATTTATTGGAAATTATAAAATTTAAATAATAGCTATACATTATATACACACAGCTACAATTTTAGAAAATAAGGTTTCATATTTGACAGAGTTCAAGGGGAAGTTCAACTACATCAACACCAAAGTTTTCTTGAAATCCTGACTTCGTTCTCTACACTTTAGCTGCTACATCATGTCATTCAAATGCAATCACAGCACTTTACACACCGGAGTTTGGGTACGCTCCTTCAAATAAATAACTCATAAATACAAAAACCTCAGGGTCTGACCCCCTTTCCTCATTCTTCCTCAACCTCATAAGCATTTTTAACGCAAGTGATTGTTATTTTACCTCTTCTCTTTCTAAGTAGCAGACACAAAAGTTGTCCTTACTCAGAAGCACCATGGAGTCTCCGCTGGAATGCCAGGAGAGGGACACGATCTGGAAGTCACCTGCAGGAAAGAGCAGAGTTTGTCAGCAAGAAGCTGACGGCCCATCCTCTTACCCTAGGAAAAGGCAGCTGGAGGAGTAAGCCACACTGCAAAAAACACCTCAAGAGGCTGATGGGGTTTGTTGCTGCTGCAGCAGAGCCAGCCTGTTCTCCAGCAGAGCAGCACAGGAGTAACGCAAAACAAATCCCCGTGAGCCGCTGCGCTCTGTCCTTCGTCTATTTTATAATGTCCATTATGAACTGCTCTTTTCTGAGGAGAGAAATATCTGGGTTTTTAAAAAGCTTCAAGAAAAGAGCCGAGCTGTTTACGTGATAACGCTCAGACCAGCTTGGAAGCAGAAAAATATGTTGGGAGGGAGAAGCTGAGGACACGCAACCTCACCTTCCGTGGGGACCTGCACGGCCACGCAGCCGGCCGGCGACCAGAGGTACACCTTGCTGTTCCCCGTGCACACGGCGAGCCGGGGCTGCCGCGGGTCCCACTGGAAGGACTGGATGGCACACAGCTGCTCCAGCACCACAAACAGCTTCAGCTTTTGAATGTCCCAGATCCAGACGGCGTTAGGAATTTTATCTGTCAGGGAAGGAAGAGGTAATCAGGTGCATACCTGACCAATAAAAAGATTGCTTGAGGTCTAACACCACCCAAACCACCTAGGGTGACCACAGGGTTAACACCACAGGAGTTTTGCCCAACGGTGCCTTCAGCTTTGCCTTGGAAATACCGCAGAGAGGATCAAAGTGACTTAATTTGTCTTTTATCAAATTATTCCTGATTATGTTGCTGTTGATGGGGTTTGCATCTGAACCACAGCTTTTGCATCCGGACATAAAGAGCCCTTCAGGACCATTGCAGGGTAAGAGTAAACATAAATTCCAGGCCTTTCCCTGTCTGAGGTAATCAAAAGCCACCCTCCTACAGGTTGTGGAGAATTCTGCCTCAAGACACACCTGCTGTAAACAGGAGGAAAGATCTGGGCATTGCATTTTCTAACCCAGTGAGCTCACACACCATCCAAAGCACACTGTTTTCATTGGACAGGAGGAACTCACCATTTCTGGTTGCCAGGAAGCAGTTATCCGGACTGAACGCCAACATCCCAACTCCCATTTTGGGATTTGCCCTGTCAGCGACTGGTTTGATAGACTGTAAAGAAACTGGCACCTGGGAAATGTCATCTGGAATTTGAAATAAAGGGACGTCACTGAGCAAGCCTGAATAGAAATATTTAAATTCCAACTGCTAAGAAAACCCCTCATCTCTGAGGTGATGGGACCATATTTTACTCTTGTCCAAAATGTTCCAGTCAATAACTTGATTGTTTTAAGATACTGCTTCTTCGTATAAACAGCTTAGTATTCTTACTCTTCTACAGAAAAAGAAAGGCTGGAAATCTGAGATTAAACCATGACAAAAAGGAGAGATCAAATTTTCTGCTACCTTCTAACTAGTATTTCAGACAAACACCCACACAAATCAAAGGGGATTTACAGTAGAATGAACATTGTGACAGTGAAAAAAAACAAACCAAAAACTCATCATACATTGTCTGCCTGCTCTTTAGTATTTCCAAGCCCACTGACTGGAGGCAAGTTCATAGCAGCGCTACAACTCCAGCTGCTTAGACAAAAGCCAAATGGCCTTTTCCATGCTCTGGTTTTTCACATAACCTCTTACCTAAGGGGTTATTTTAGTAACCTAAACCGGCAAGCCCGTAACACCTGAGGGTTTTTAGATTTTTTTTTTTTTTTTAATTATCGGACCCGCCACTCACTATGACGATTGTAATAGTTCATCTGATTGTAGCAGTTATCTGCAACAGTTAAACTAGTCGTGAAATAAAACTGGACAAAAAAAATCCACGCAACATAAGGACAACTTCTGCAAGCCACTCCAGACTGAGATCTGGCTGCTCTTCTACACCCAAGCAATCACAAGCCCTTGGAGCTCTTCAGGTACCGTGGGAGCCTGGAGCAGAGCATCCAGAGGATCACTCCGATACCAAAGAGGCAGAGTTTACCTATAATGCTTATTTATAGAAAGACCTCTCGTGGCAAACTCAAGTGTCTCATTTTAGTAAACTTTGGCTTACATTTACTCTGTGTGCTGAAGAGAGAGCTAGCCAATGCTCTTGTTGGAGGGAAAGAAAGTCTCTCTGTTTCAACAGATGGGGATTTCTCCACTTCTTTATAGACAATCTACGAAGAAACAAGTGAGAGTTCTACAGAAGGGCCTCGCAGAGTTGGAACACGGGCTATTCCCAAATCATCCACATCCCACTAACTAGTTGCCAGGTTTATCACATCTCAGCGTCCCCTCGTTCATCAACAGAGGAAAGAGCTTCAGCCGGCAAATACCGAATGCAGCATTCTCCGTGAATCGTTTGCTGTTTGGAACCAAGAGCAGCAAAGTGCTCCTGTGACCAACACACAAGACCTTGAAGCCTACAAAGAACGAAATGTACCTGCTAGCATCTTTCAGACACAAATAGCAGCGTGAGCACGGCTAACAACTCAAGGGATTTGGGATCTCTACTTACAGTCTTGGTGTTAGCAACGGTTGCCGGATGCTCAAACTCTGTGATCTTCTTCCACGTTACGTGGTTCAGGATACGCACCTAATTCGTTTCAAGACAAAGCTCTCATGACAAAGTTCTACAAACAGTTTAGAGAAAAGAGGGATAATAAACCTATTTCTCACCTTCTCATCGTAGCTGCCAACTGCCAGAAATTGGCTGCTGGGACTCCAGGCAATTGATTTTATGCCGAGCGACCATTCGTAAGCACGATACGTGGACAGCAGTCTGCCATCAAGGGAGTACAGCAAGATTTTATACTGAAACCAAAAGATTCATTCTAATGACTGACAATACTGCTGTCAATAAAGATTTACATAACAACTGGACATACACTTGTAGGGA